GAAGTCCAGTGAATACCACTATCATTCAAATATATGCACCAACAACTAGAGCCAAAGAGGAGGAAATAGAAGATTTCTACCAGCTTTTGCAGTCAGAAGTTGATCAAACATGCAATCAAGATGCATTGATAATAATGGGCGACTGGAACGCAAAAGTTGGGAACAGAGAAGAAGGTTCAGGACTTGGAAAATACGGGCTCGGTGAGAGAAATGAGGCTGGAGATAGAATGATAGAGTTCTGCACATTTAATGATTTATTCACTGCATATACCTTTTATAAGAAACAAACGCAGGCTATACACATGGGTCTCACTGGTGAAACCAACATATTGACTACAATAATCAACTTAAGTATGGTGGAGATAGCTAGGATGGTGCAGGATAAGATAAGGTTTCAATCTGTTGTTCATACAGTTGCTATGATTTCTAGTGGACTCAATGGCACTTACCCTAACAACAACAGAATAACATCTTTAAGGGCATTATATCACTCAAGAGCCTTTATCAATCAAACTTTTGCTTTAACTCATCATAATAGTATCTTGACTATCTAGATCCTCTGGTCTGATGCAGGGATGCTCCTTTTGCAAATATCCAGCTTTGTAAACCTTGGAAAAGAATGTCACTTATCTAGCAACTATTTTGAAGGAGGCAAATTTGGCACCTGAACCCTTCTATAAGAAGCACATAAACTTTCTTATACACAAATCCCAACACCACTGCCCCAGGAGCACTAATATTACAGGGTAATGAAGAGGAAATACAAGGACAGAGGTTGTGGGAGGTGCTGGTGGGGCAAGGAGAGGGAATTGGGTTGTATGTTGGCAAGGCAGGGAGAGGATGGGAACACAGTATATGTGCCAAAGGGGTAGGCCCCTATGACCAACACCTGATCGGTTTGTTACCGGCATACTCTCTGATCAGCTTTTTCAGGTTAAATATTTGTCAGTCAAATATTGCTCTACTGCTGAGTCCCCAGATTAAGACAAACTAGGGAGAAGAACTGACCATCCACTTCTGAAATAATAGGCATTCAAAAACCCTAAATACAACAAAGCACACTTAGGTTAGACTGGCAGATATGGCACCAGAGGATGAGCCTTCCTACTGGGAATCACAGAGAAGGAGGAAGAGTT